ATGCTGTGTTAAGTGCTTTATCTGTATCAAGTAAATTCTAACAACAGTCCTGTGAGGTGTTAGCCTCAACTTACCTAAGGAAACTAAAATATGGAAAGGCTAGATAATTTGACAGAGGTTACACAGCTAGATAATTACTGGGCTGAATTTCAGACTTTAGTGTCTGATCAAATTCAAACTCAAGGTTTTTTTGTTGTTGTTGTTGTTTATTTGTTTTTGGCACAGGGTCTTTTTCTGTTTGCCAGGCTGGAGTGCAAGAGCATTATCATGGTTCACTACAGGCTCGAACCCCTGGGCCCAAGTGATCCCCCAGCCTTAGCCTCCTAAGTAGCTAGGACTACAGGTGTGTACTACCATGCTTGGTTTATTTTTTAATTTTTTATAGAGATGGTGTCTTGCTACTGTTGTCCAGTCCAGGCTGGTCTTGAACTCCTGGGTCTTGAGTGAGCCTCCTGCCTCATCCCCCAAAGTGGTGGGGTCACAAGCACAAGCCCAAAACTCATGTTCTTGATCATTCTCTCACTTAGTCTTCGTTATTCCTTCAAAATGTGTTCATATCTAATCAATAAAACTTGCTGATATTTAAGGCATGTACTAGCTATGTGTATGTGGAGAAGGGAGATAACAAGGAGGCGCAAAGAAATCCATGGACCTTTCTACCTATTATGCTATCTAGTTTGGGAGTTAAGAACTATATGTTAAGAACAAATGGAGGTAGGAGAGGAAAGAGACCTGACTGAGTGCTACTATGGGTAGGTGCTTTTATCTTCTCTAGCACCCTGTAAGATAGGGTGTTATCACCAATTTAATAGAGGAGACATCAGGTGCTCAGAGAAGCTAAACCTCTTGCTAAAGGTCAATATAGTCAAGTATAAGAACAGAGGCTTGTCCATACCAGCATACTCTATTAGGAAACTCTAGTGGGTTATACTTAATAGTATGGAAATGAAGAGCTTTGGGGAAATAAATACTACTCATAGTTGAGATATATCTAACACTTATAATAACATAGGTGATTGAAATGTTAAATGTTAAATTAAACTGAAATGTTTAATTTATTGGATAAGACATTTTAACTACCTATAAATATTTTCTTGTACCTGGTATAAAGCATAATAATTATTGTAACAAATTTCTTCTGTAGTAAATCTTTTACTTAGAAGATAATTATAGAGATCAATTGGTAATGCCTTACCTACGTATATGTCTTGCATCTGTATTTCTCTCACTTTAAAAAAAATTACTAAATTGTCGTAAAATTCTGCTTTTAGGCTCGGTGCCTATGGCTCAAGTGGCTAAGGTGCCAGCCACATACACCTAAGGTGGCGGGTTCAAATCCAGCCTGGCCCGCCAAATAACAATGATGGCTGCAACCAAAAAATAGCCAGGCCTTGTGGCGGGCGCCTGTAGTCCCAGCTCTTGGGAGGCTGAGGCAGGAGACTCACTTTAGCTCAGGAGCTGGAGATTGCTGTGAGCTGTGATGTCATAGCACTCTACCCAGGGGGACAGCTTGAGGCTCTTGTCTCAAAAAAAAAAAAAAAATTCTGCTTTCAAATGTGTACAGTCTCTAGCAGGAACAATGCTGGCACCTGCAGGCTTGGCAATACCATGCAGAGATAACGCCACATCAGTGCAATCACCACCATGAGCTTTGCTCTGCTCTCACACATGCGGCTGCTATTCTGAGTACTTTTACATGGATTTCTCAACATCCCTGCCAGTCAGGTATTATTAATATCCCCTATTTACAAATGGAGAAATTGAGGCATGTGGAGCCTAAGAAGGTCTTTTAAGATCACAAAGCTAGAGTTCACACTCATGCAATCTGACTACAGGAACTGATGTTCTTAAATACAATAATACATTAAATCCTTGGCAAAATGAACATCTTGACCAAGGAAAGATCAGTATTTTTCTCATGTAAAATGCTTCGGATGTATCTGCTGAAGGGTGAAACTTATAAAAGTAACATTCTGGTTCGGTGCCCGGAGCACAGTGGTTATGGTGCCAGCCACGTACACCAAGGCTGGTGGGTTCGAACCCAGGCTGGGGCCAGCTAAACAATTACAGCTGCAACAAAAAATAGCAAGGCCTTGTGGTGGGTGCCTGTAGTCCCAGTTAGTTACTTGGGAGACTGAGGCAAAAGAATTGCTTGAGCCCAAGAGTTTGAGGTTGCTGTGAGGTGTGATGCCACAGCAATTGAGGGTGACATAGTGAGACTCTGTCTCAAAAGTAAATAAATAAATGAAACATTCTTTTGGTGTGTCTACATGTGCTATCTATGTAAGCCTCAAAATTTCAGAGGAGCTATGGGGGAAAAATCCCACCAACATGGTTAGAGAGTTTCCTATGTATTTTCACCTCTTAAACGCGCAAAGTTAACTGGGGTATGATCTAGTACATCAGTCTCCTCAGCTGCCTTTCAAGTTGCTCTCGATCGGCTTACCCCACAGCAGTCCCCATTCTCATTTCATTTTTATTGGATTTAGGGGCTTTCCCCAATAGAACTATTTCTCCTTTTCTACTTTTTAAATTTTGAGACAGGGTCTTGTTCTGCCACCTGGGCTGGAATGTGGTAACATCATAAAGTTTAACTGCAACCACAAACTCCTGGACTCTAGGGATCCTCCCTCCTCATCTTCCCCAGTAGCTAGGATTATACGCTCAAGCCATTTGCCCAGCTAGTTTGTCTATTTTTTATTTCTTTTTTAAATGGAGACAAAGTCTCGCTGTTGCCCAGGCTGATCTGGAACTTCTAGCTCCTTCGGCCTCCCAAAGTGCTAGACTTAAAGGTGTGAGACACTCTACTAGCTAAACTCTTATTTTTAAGGGCATGCACTCCACTGAGGGCAATGACAAACATTCCCAGGAAACAGCTGTTCTCATATCTTCTCACAGAGCCTACCTATCTTTTTATCTTTTTTTAAAAATGTTGACTGTGGCGGTGCCTGTAGCTCAGTGGGTAGGGCGCTGGCCACATATACACAGGCTGGTGGGTTTGAATCTGGCGTGGGTCAGCTAAACAATAAAATAGCCGCGTGTTGTGGTGGGCACCTGTAGCTCCAGCTACTTGGAAGGCTGAGCCAAGAAATTGCTTAAGCTCAAGAGTTTGAGGTTGCTGTGAACTGTGATGTCAAGGCACTCAACTGAGGGCAACATAATGAGACTCTGTCTCAAAAAAAAAAAAAGTTTTTGATTGTTAGATCTGAGGCCATTTCAAATGTTTTCCTCAATTATGTAACCCCCCCAATGTAACATTTACACATCAAAAAAATAAATGCCTAGTTCTATTCAGATCATTTTTTACTTGAGATAATTCATCTTGCTATTGACAGATACTTAAATAAATCAATAATCTCATTACTTTTTCTCCTGTTAACAGTATTCAAAGTACAGCGGGTTTCCCATGGATATGGAGGGTGCCTGTAAGGGACTCCAGCATCCATGTATTTTGGTATCCAAGGGGAATCCGATGTGGAATCCCTTGATTCCACTTTCCCTTGATCTGCTTTATTTTCCTGGAGTCTCTAAATTGGGTGCTTGACATCTATTTAGGTATCCAAAAGGTATCTTACATCTAAAATGGAACTCAATTTCTGCTCCAACCCTTCTCTTTTCTGAGTCTTCACCAGAACAGTAAATTCAACCTCCATTTTTCCAGTGTTTAGGGCAAAAATTGGAGTGTCATCTCTGAGTCACTTTCTCTCATACATTACCACCTATTCATTAATAAATCTTATTGGTGCATGCTGAAAATTCCCAGAATGTCAACAGTCACCTCGCTCTCAAATTACTATTGGGAGCCCCTTAGTTGTTATTCTAAGTCTTCACTTATGCCTTCCAGTAGCCACCATAATAACTTTTTAAAATAGAATCCAGGTGATATCACTGCTTGGCTTAACACCCTACAACAGTCTCTCATTTCACTTAGAGAAAAAAAGTCCACTGGTGGGCAGCGCCTGTGGCTTAGCTGAAGGTGGTAGGTTCAAACCCAGCCCGGGGCAAAAACTCTAAAAAAAAAAAAAAAAAAGGTCCAGTGGCCAGTGGCTACCGCTGCTGAAGATACTTCATGATTCAGACCTATCTGCTCTCTGACCTTACCTCCTACTACTCCCCCACTGGCTCACTCCACTCCTGCCACCGCACTACCTCAGCGATGCTAGAGGGCAAGAATAGTTTTCAGCTCTGCATTTAACAGTCCAATGCCAATTTCCCCCTGACTTGCCCCTTTGTTTCCTGAGTCTTTGCTTAAATGTTAAACTTTATCAGAGAGGCTGCCTCCTTGTACAACATTCCCTTTTCCCGCTTCCTATTTCTTCTTAGCATCTGCCACCACACAGAATATTACACATTTCCTCATGGTCTAGCCTATGTCTTCTGACAAAAATGCAGAATCAATGAGAGAAGGGACCTTGCTTGTTCACTGAAGTATCTTCAGTGTTGAGGCCAGTGCCCTGCACTTACGGTGGGGGAGGCTTAATAAACACTTGCTGAAGGAATGAATAAATGGAGCAGCTGAGAGGTAAAGAGTGGAGTTCAGGCTGGCAATTACTCACCTTCCTTATTCTGGTATACACAAAATAATCATGAGATGAAAATGCTGCTGGCAAGAGCAGGAATTTCAAAATAGAAATAAAAAGAATGGGAGAGGAACAAATAATTGAAGACTATGGTTCCTATTCAGGGGTGGTAGAGCAATCACCTGAAACATTCACAAAATACATAGACTCCACGTCCAGCCACTAAGGAATCAGATTTAGAAAATGAAGATGAGAGCCAGGCAACTCTATTTTTAAAAGTTATACTAAGTCAGCGGTTCTCAACCTTCCTAATGCTGCAACCCTTTAATATAGTAGCAACCCACAGCTTGAGAATTGCTGCCCTAAGTGATTCTGATGTCCATCTCTATTAAAGCTTATTCAAAAGGAGAGTCTCCAAAGGCATGTGGTAAAGTATGCAGTAAACAAAGTAATACATTTGTTTTGTTTAAACCCACATACCTGACTGGGGACTCAAAAAAACTGTTGTTTTTTGTTTCTTTTTGTCTTCATGTAAAAGCACTGCCTAAAAAATGAAATAGACTAGTTTACAAAATCGAAAGGAACAGCATCTGAAACAGCCTTAAAACTGAAAGCACATCCAAGGAGAGCTGAAATTAAGCATGTGGGCAGCAGAATTTTGCAAGTTAATTGAAAAGCAAGACACATAAGCTGGAGTACTTGAACAAGGCCCTGCCATCCAGTGCCCAGCAAGCCTCACCATGCACCATGTATGAGCAGCACAGAGAAGGAATGCTGAGTTACTCAGGAGGAAGCAGGGCCCAGGGCTGTCTGCACCTCACTGGGGACCTGGCACAGAACTGTGAGCACCAAGTATCTCTTGAATAAAGAGATGACAGAGAGATTTTCTTCTTTGTTTTGAGCTAGGTTTACCTGAACAAATGTACCAGTTGGTCTCAAAGGGCTAGGTGAAGAAGGGGATCCAAATATATAATCTGATTTAGTCATACCTAAAAAAGAAATTAACACTTTTTGTTCCTATTCTGAATTGAAAGCACCAGTCCTGTTTTCAAACCTTCACAGAAAGACTTTTTGTTGATATTACAGAAATGCTCACTTAGGGGACAAAAAATATATACATATTTAAAGAAATGAGAGGGAGGAGCCTAAGTTTTAGGTAGTAAGAACAAGCTGATTATGTTCAATTTCTTCTGGGGGAAATTCATCATACTCTATCCATTCTGATATCACTTGTATAACATGATGACTACTTATTTCAATGTGTGAATACTATATTCTGAAGAAACCACACTTCCAGATGTGTTCTTGTCCTTAGGCCTGATAATCCCCCTGCTCTTTGATTTGCTACTGCTCCCTGGAGGACCATCAGAATCACTGCTTTCTTTGGAGAGCTTCACTAGTAAACCATTTTACTACCTACCAGTAACAGTATACTACCTATACTGTTTATATTTTCTTTATCTGTAAAATGGGGATATTAATACCACCACATTTAACAGAGGTATTGTAAAAATTAAATGAGATTATCCATGTAAAGTAGTTAAAACAGTGCCTAACTCATTGCTCAATAAATGTTAGCAATTATTATTATTTTAATTCCACTTAAACACATTTTTCTCTTATTATCATAAAATCATTCCATTATGGTGTATGTCTCATGTGGGCTGGACAAAGCTGTGTTGCATATTTAAGCCCAATTTTAAGAATAGCTGATAAAAATTTAAAAAATATATTTGTCATATAAAGCTCCTTAAAAAAACCAAGAATGGGTGATCTAAAAATCTATTTGTAGGCACCTGTAGGTGCCTACAGCAGCTAAGGTGCCAGCCACATACACTGGAGCTGATAGGTTCGAGTCCAGCCCAGACCTGCCAAGCTACAATGACAACTACAACCAAAAAATAGTGAGGGGTTGTAGCGGGCGCCTGTAGTCCCAGCTACTTGGGAGACCGAGAGAAGAGAATTGCTTAACCCAAGAGTTGGAGGTTGCTGTGAGCTGTGATGCCACAACATTCTACCGAGGGCAATAAAATGAGACTCTGTCTCAAAAAAATAATAAATAAAAATCTGTCTTAAGAAAAAAATACACTATATTGCTGAATATGATAAAATAAAGAGAGGTATTGTTGTTCTGAGAACTATAAACACTGGAGTATTTTAAGAAAATTACAAAGCAGCACTTACTTTTTTATGCTATCCCCAAACATATACATCTTAAGGATAGCAAGGGTTATCGACTTCAATTAAAAAAATAAATTACTGGCCAGGTGAGATGGCTCACACCTGTGATCCCAACACTCTGGGAGGCCAGGTGGATTGCTTGAGGTCAGGAGTTTGAGACCGGCCTGAGCCAGAGCAAGATCCCCTTCTCTGAAAATATAGCCAGGCATTTTGGCAGGTGCCTATAGTCCCAGCTGCTCAAGAGACTGAGGCAACAGAATCACTTGAGCCCAAGAGTTTGGGGATGCTGTGAGCTATGATGTCACAGAACTCTACTGACAGTGACAAAGTAATAAGACTATCTCAAAAAAAAAAAAAATTACTTCCCAGGGTTTTTTTTTTTTTTTAATGCTTGTCAAATTCCATCCACTTGCACAAATTTGTTCTGAGAAACGAAGTGAGAATGTATAAATTACTTTGTAAATTACGGCTTATTATACACACAAAAGGTACCCTTATATGTAACAGTCTGTTAAAAAGATATCCACAACAACAAAAAAGATATCCACAACAGATACTTCACCCATTTAGCAGAAATGGTCAATTCATATCCATCAACTGAAAGGGGCAAGATTTAAGGATGATTTTGAACTACCACTAATGTATATTTTCCTCATTATAAGAATAATCATGCTTACTTGTAGAAAATGAAAATAAAATCTTAAAAAAAAATCTTCCACAATTCCCCTGAGCAGATATAACCACTAACCGTGCAGCATATTTTGTTCTTGTCCCTTTCCATGCATGTGTTTGTGTGTGCATAAACAAATGTATCAGTGGCTCACTGTGAACCTGCAAACACAGTATAGTATCCTGAGATAACATGGGCTACTGCCTCCTCCCCATGGCTGGGCAGTGATTTGATTTCAAAAGTGCACACACTGAGTAGCAAAGCTCAAGTTCAGCTTGTTTTTTTGTCACTGAGGCTATACTGTTCGGGTACTGGGGATTACCACACTTATATTTCATTGATAATCTTAGAAAAACCCACCAAATGGTTTTCATAACACTCTGAAGTAAAGCCAGGAATAAGTGTTTGAGACACACAGAGGTTCATAAAGGGGGAAAAGAATTTCACTTTTTTAAAACCAAAATCTTTTTTGAGTATATATTTGTTGGAGAAATAAATATAATGAAAATAGTAAAAAAAATTCTAAAAAGGAGATTTCCCTTGAGATGTTAGCGCAAACATCAAGGCGTGATAGGTGTCCGTACCTGGAGAGCCTTTGAACTGTGGGCATTCCTTTTTAATGTGCCCTTCTCTTCCGCAAATAAAACAACGTTTTTCTCTTAAGTCTTTGTCATCTTGTCTCTTCCATTTTTCCACTGGTGGCCTGAGAATCTTTTCCCTCCCCAGGTCGACAGCTACCCTCACTGGCTTGGCTTTCTGGGGTGTGCATTGCATGGGCTTATCTTCTTTTGTTGACGCTTCCCTTTCTGTATATTTGTTTTGAATTTCTTTCTCCTCTTTGCTTCTTTTTTCTTTATTCTCGGGGTATCTTTGGTTCAGGCCATCTTCCTGATCTCGCCTCCGCCTCACTCTGTGGAAGATACCATACCAGTAGGAAAAATCTTAAAAGAAACCTAACAGAATATTAAGTTAACTCCAGGGTTATGAAATGATCAGTAACAGAAGGTATCAGAGGGAAAAGCAAGGATTTAAGTCTAGCTTCTCTTTTAAGATACTACCTCACTCAGGACTTAAGGGTGTAGTTTTTCATTTTCAAATTCACTCTAGTAGTGTAAAACCAAGTTTTGCAATTAGTGGGACTCCTTGGTTCAATAAAACTCAAATTATCCGGGGTGGCGCCTGTGGCTCAAAAGGGTAGGGCGCCAGCCCCATATGCCAGAGGTGGCAGGTTCATACCTAGCGCTGGTCAAAAAAACCTCAAATTATCCTTGGCTTTTTGAATAGCCTTTCTAGTATATTAGCATTTTTTACGAGGCACTGGAAATTTGAGATGTGAATCCGTAAGTTCACAAAGGAACAACGGTTATAAAGAGATTTATGTTCTTAAACTGTCAATATCATTTCTCCTTTGTCCTACTTGATCTTTGACTATTATTATTATTTGAGTAATAGAAAAAGCACTAAAAAAAGAGCTCCTCAAATTCCAGATGGTGACTTAATTTGAGTAGTATATTTTTAAACAGAATTATTATTGTAGAGTTAGAAACACCACTATTAATGCTCTAAACAAAAACATGTCTCAAGCAATCAATCAAAAACACATTCCTCTTTCCTCCCCACACCAGAAGAAAGCATAGTGAGATGACCAAACTGAGCAGCTGGCTGGACTCATAGCAATTACTAAGGATTAGGCTAAGTACAAACAAAGGGTTCTACATTCCAGGAAACTGTTGGTGAATATAAATCGCAACATACTACACCTCAGGTATTGTAAATTAGAAATGTACTTGAAACCCTGAAAAAATTAGAAAGATTCTGAACTATAGGCTCGGCGCCTGTGGCTCAGGTGGCCAGGGCGCCAGCCATATACACCTAAGGTGGCGGGTTTGAATCCAGCCCAGACCCACCAAGCAACAATGATGGCTGCAACCAAAATAATAGCCAGGTGTTGTGGCAGGCGCCTGTGGTCCCAGCTACTTGGGAGGCTGAGGCAGGAGACTTGTTTGAGCCCAGGATTGGAGGTTGCTGTGAGCTGTGATGCCACAGCACTCTACCCAGGGGGACAGCTTAAGGCTCTGTCTCAAAAAAAAAAAGATTCTGAACTATAAAAGGGAAAAATTCTGGTTTTCTTTTTTCTTCTTCTATCCTTGTTGGAGAGGTTAATTAATGATTAGAGCCATGACCAAAATGAAGAAAGGGGATCAGCCTGGAGGACTATCTGTCACCTGTATCCTGAGTCAATTCTAGTTATCTTTCCTTAAAGGTATGTTTAAAATCACTTCATTTTTATTAAAACAAAACAAAATAAAACATTCATCTAAAAATTGCTAGAGTTCATACAAGTTTATTTCCTGTCATAATAGAAACTGATTTAAAAGTTGGACTAAAGTAAATAAAAACAAAACCAACCTTCTCGAACATGTACTTACTTTCTCCTCATAGGACAGTCCTTCATGAAGTGTCCAATTTTCCCACAAATTCGACAACATCTATCATTTGGAGCTAGCTCTCCTTCAGTTAGCACATCTGGATCAAAAAAGTACTCCTAGAACAGAAATGTATAAAAGCCTCAACTATTAATGTGAAATCAAAACACAAAACTAAACAAACAGTGGTCTTACATATCAATGTGGACATATCATTATTTTCAATAAATATTATTTATACTGCTTAATCCAAAACAAATTTTAAAACCACCCAAGTCTGATTCAGGATAATTTTACCTAAACCTATTTTTGTCATGCAGTTCAACTCTAGTGCTAAAGGGTCAAGCACACTTCTAAATAATCACATCATACCTCCCCAAAAGTCAGCTTCCCCAAAACATGCAAGGAAGTGAGGCCACGTACAAAAGCTTTATTTTCTCATAAAATGTAAAAGCTGACATCTAATGAATTAAGGAACATGATGTGCATCATGCAGGTTACATTGAAGAAATGAAAATAGTTATGTTATTGCTTTGTTTTATTGTGGCTTCTGACAGAAAAATAACATAAGAAAGGAAAGACAATGACTTGGATTCTGCACTAATTAAGATGGGGGACAAGCAGCATTGGTATGACTTGGGAGCTTCTGGAAATGTAGAACCTTGGGCCTCACCCCAGACCTGCCAAATCAGAATCTTGTTTTTAACAAAATCACCAGGGGATTTGTTTCAACAAGTTTCAGAAGCACTGTCATAGAAGTGCTTCAGAAGCAACATCCAGCAAAAACCAGATGTACAGATGTCAATCAAATATGAATGTTCCTACACAGCCATACACATAAGGTTCATTTCATGAGTCTCATTGTTGAGTGGGAGAGAATGAGGAGTAATTGATCAGAGGGAATAAAGTTTCAGATATACAGCTAGAATAAGTTTTGAGGTGTGTTGCACACAGAGCAACTATAGTCAAAAATAATGTATATTTCAAAATGACAGAGTAAATATAAATGTTACACCACAAAAAATGGTAAGCAATATGCTGGATATATTAATTAGCCTGATTTAATCATTTTGAATAGTATGCAGGTATCAAAATATCATATTATGCCGCATAAATGCATATGATTATGATTTGTCAAATATTAATAAAAATGTCTTTATTAAGGAAGCTAATGCAGAAAAAATAACTATTTTTAGCAAAGTCCTCTAGTACCTAACCATTTGTCTCTCATTGAAATAATTTTTTTATTAATAACATATTTGAGCTGGGTGTGGTAGCTTATGCCTGTAATCCCAACACTCTGGGAGGCCGAGGCAGGTGGACTGCTTTAGGAGTTTGAGACCACCCTGAGCAAGAATGAGACTCGTCTCTAAAAAATAACTGGGCATTGTGGTGGGGGCCTGTAGTCCTAGCTACTCAGGAGGCTGAGGCAAGGGAATTGCTTGAGCCGAAGCAAGAGTTTGAGGATGCTGTGAACTATGAGGCTATGGCACTCAACCCCAGGGTAACTAAGTGAGACAAAAAAGAAAAACAAAAAAGTTTTGATTTGTTTTCAATGAGTGTGCTTCTTTAGAAATCTGAGTATCAGGTTATGTAAGGACAGACAGTTGTCGAGTATAGGCAGCATTGTCATTCTCCCTATCCTATTAAGAGAATTCCTTGAGAAGCAGACTGGAAAATGCAGATTCGCATTAGAAGAGTGGGGAAGTATTTAGATATGTACAAACTGGGCTCGGCTAAGGCTGGCAGAAAGCTGAATGCTGGTGGTACAGAGATGCCATAGATAACCAGGAATAGAAGGTATCAAAGGCAGAATCAAGCAAGAATTCAAAGGATAAATGCTTCCTTATTTTGTTTAGGATTCAGTTCACTGAAATTTTTATTTCACCATTTGTAATACACTATTCTTAATTTAAATATAAAAAAGCAAATGTATTGAGAAAAAAGAAAATAAAGAATTTTATCAACTTAAATTCATCTTTATTAAAAAGGCTATATGAAGGCTTAAGAGTAGTTTTTCTTTTTATCATTTTCAAAGTTGCTTTGGCACTGGTATTCATTTCCTTGGCGTGAGCTACCAAAGAAAAAGCGGCAGCAGCAAAATTAATTTTCCCACCTTAAGTTTGCTTCTCTCTGTTCCCTTGATGAAAAATATCTATAGAGGGACTTTAAAAATGGGGGTTGGGGAAAGACAGCTTTTGGAATTATTTTGTATTGTAATTGTCTTGGCTAAGTTCACTGGACTTTTAGAATACTGAAGTTATTACTGAATACTGTGTACAAATTAGGTGCTTTTAAAATTGTTTTTTTGGCATTTTCAATAGTCACTTACCATTTTTGAGGGGTAGTCCTTTGGAAATCCTTTGACAGGAATACCAAATACTCTTCTACCATTTATGAAAGCTTTCATTATGAAATTTGTCACTAAGAAAAGAGTAAGAACTCAATTAGATGAATTAAAAGGAAAAGAGACTGCATTAAAATTTATAAAAAAGTAACTTACTTTTCCTTGATAATCCAGCTCCAAGATTATGATTCAAATCAAAAGGATCTAAGTAAACAAAGTTAAGGAAAGTAAGCAATAGGAAATACCACTAACTATTCATTCAATAAATGAGGCGCATATAACAAGAAGAAAACATCATCTACCTTATTAATAATAGTATTAAACAAGTGCTTTTTTTGTTTTTTCTTGAGAGAGTTTCACTATGTTGCCCAATAGAGTGTTGTGGCGTCAGAGCTCACAGCAACCTCCAACTCTTGGGCTTAAGCGAATCTCTTCTCTCAGCCTCCCGAGTAGCTGAGACAACAGGCACCTGCCACAATGCCCAGCTATTTTTTTTTTGGTTGTAGTTGTCATTGTTTGGCAGGCCTGGCTGGGTTCAAACCTGTCAGCTCTGGTGTATGTGGCTGGTGCCTTAGCCACTGAGCTACAGACACTGAGCCTAAATGACCGCTTTTTAAATGAGCTTGAAATCTGTAAATCAAGCTAAATACTAATATAACTTAATTTTTAAATTTTATTTTTCCGCAAAAGTATCCATCAGAAAAAAGGGAGTTGTTTTATATTTAAATCCTTATAAAATCCTACATGTTATGACTGTCTGTCTAGTTGTAAATAGAATACCATTTAGAGAAGACACAATAGCATAATATTAGGTGATACTAGTTTGGGATGTGTATAGAAATCACAAAATTTATTTATTTATTTATTTATTTTTTTGAGACAGGAGCCTCAAGCTGTCCCTCTGGGTACAGTGCCATGGCATTTCAGCTCACAGCAACCTCCAACTCCTGGGCTCAAGCGAGTCTCCTGCCTCAGCCTCCCAAGTAGCTGGGACCACAGGCGCCAACCACAACGCCCGGCTATTTTTTGGTTGCAGTCATCATTGTTGTTTGGCGGACCTGGGCTGGATTCGAACCCGCCACCTTGGGTGTACATGGCTAGCACCTTAGCCACTTGAGCCACAGGCACCAAGCCGAAATCACAAAATTTAAAACACTTAGCAGGGCCGAGGGCGGTGGCTCATGCCTGTAATCCTAGCTCTCAGAGAGGTCGAGATGGGTGGACTGCCTGAGCTCATGAGTTCAAGACCAGCCTGAGTAAGAGCAAGACCTGGTCTCTAAAAATAGCTGGGCACTGTGGCGGGCGCCTATAGTCCTAGCTACTGGGGAGGCTGAGGGAAGACAACTGCTTCAGCCCAGAAATTTGAGGTTGCTTTGAGTTATGACACATTCTACCAAGGGTGACAAAGTGAGACTCTGTCTCAAAAAAATAAAAAACAAAAAGAAAACACCACTTAGCACTGAATATTCCTGCTAATTAACAAGTTTCTTACAGATCACTTCAGAAAATAATTCATCACAGAGATCATAAAACACACTTATAATATACACAGACACATCTACCTGTCCCAACATCATGTCAATGGCTATTTGAGTCTCAGGATACAATTTCCTATAAAAGTTTCATATAGACTCTCATATGACCTTAAATGTCTGCATTTATCAAATGCCTTAGATAAATGTGCATGTGATATATTTTGAAGAATCATTTTAATTCCATGAGAAAGTTACTTACTTAGTTTGGTCATGCCTTTTTCTGGTGAATTTTCTTTCTTTCTTTTTTTTTTTTTTTTGAGACAGAGTCTCACACTGTTGCCCCAGGTCAGAATGGTGTCAGCCTAGCCCACAGCAACCTCCTGCCTCAGCCTCCCAAGTAGCTGGGACTACAAGCACTCCCCACAATGTCCAGCTAATTTTTTTCTATTTTTTAGTAGAGACAGGGTTTTTCACTCTTGCTCAGGCTGGTCCTGAGCTCAAGAATTCTCATGCCTCAGCCTCCCAGAGTGTTACGATTATAGGTATGAGCCACTGCACCAGGACTGTCCTGGTGATTTTCATGTGTGCATGTGTGGAGGTATTTTTGGTTATTTGCTTGGTATCATAGAGAGGCTACAATATTAGCTACTATATAGTTAAAACACTACAACTACCATCACTGAAGTTTCTCATTTCTAGAATAGCTGGCTATATAATCATAATGAAGTCTTTACAGTTTAGCCTATTACTAACAGTTCATCTGAAAGTTGTGTAGAAATTAAAAATAGAAGATACGCCTTCAAAAACTGAAAACAAGGCTTGACGCTTGTAGCTCAAGTGGCTAAGGCGCCAGCCACATACACCAGAGCTGGCAGGTTAGAATCCAGCCTGGGCCTGCCAAACAACAATGACAACCACAACCCAAAAATAGCCGGGCATTGTGGTGGGCACCTGTAGTCCCAGCTACTTGGGAGGCTGAGGCAAGAAAATCGCTTAAGCTAAGGAGTTGGAGATTTTTGTGAGCTGGGATGCTACGGTACTCTTCCCAGGGCGACAGCTTGAGGCTCTGACTCAAAAAAAATAAAAAACAAAAAATTAAAAACAAATCACAAATAACTGGCAGACCACAAGACAAAATGCCACTGTGATAAAGAAAAGGAGTAAAACACAGTTCTTTGTTTTTAACATATGAGAGCCTCATATGCTAAACCACATATCTACAACTCATGCTGATATGAATTTCATTTAACAGATATTCACAGTATTTTAATATTGCCAATATGCAGAAGTAATAAAGAAAACACAGCTTAGAATAACATGTATTATTTAGGCAATATGAGTATATATAAAAAATAAGACTCATTAAAATCAACAATTAAGCCATTTCTCAGACCATTTTAAAGCATTTAAACTTCACTTTTTCTTTTTAAAATTAGAATCCTACAAATATAAACATTTCACCATGACAAATCTTTTACTATTATCGGGCATATATATACTGAAGAATAAGGTAGCAAAGAGATAGGACATTTTCAAGATTTGTCATGGCGAAAGAACATCAGACATTTAAAAATAAATCTTTAAGCTAAAAATAGACAAGTTAGTCTGGTGTAAACAATAATGGGACTGGTGCACTGTGTATCTGGAACAGCAGCTCCTAGATCCCCGAAGAGCTCCGTAAGGAGGAAGAACAATGCCCTCATAGTTCAATCTCTGCACTCTATTAATATTAATTTTATTTGTACCTTCAATAACAATGTATTTTGAAGTCCACTGTTTCTTAAAAGTTGTAAGCAGACTTTTTCTCCTGATGCTAATAACATGTTCTTTAAAATCGAATTCCTCTGTGTAGAAACGAAGAAGGCCCAGCCATAGCTGCCCAACAGATTCTGTATTTTTTCCATATTCTGGCCAATAGGTAGGCTAGAAATAGAAGGGAACAAGAGATATCACATTCTAAAGTAAAGTGTTAATATCAATATTCATTTGTAAGTCAGGGAGTAAATTTGGATTTATTTCTAATTAACTAGTATAAACAGATAAAAAGTAACTATCTTTTGTATTTAAAAATACAATTTACATGAATTTATTAATCTTGACTCTGACTTGGAGACAGAGAGAACTTAAGAGTTTTTACTGTTAAACCTCAAAACATGTTTGTGGGAAAATTCCAAAACAAACTGTAAGAGTTTGGCACTGCCTAGGTTATTAGGTCTCTATAACTCAAAGATTTTCCCACAAAGAAAATATTCATTTACTCAGAATAAAGTTACTTAACTATTAGGAATTACTAGGCATTAGTCCCTAGCAACTCACCTGGCTTAATAAAATAGTTTTGCTTCAAAGAAAACACCTGTAAGTGCTAGTTTTTATTACTGTAATATAAATAAATATAATAAATAAAAAAGTTGTTACAATTTATACTACAGCATAGTAGAGCTAATTTTTAGTCAAGTATGTAGGAAATCTTTACTCTTAAAATACGTACCAGTTCATCTATTTGATCAAAAAAATAAATATTCCAGCCATCAACAAATATTTCAGGTTTCTTTTCACCTTTGTATATCTGAAATTAATTTTTAAACTATTAGTATGGATTACAAACTTAATGCATTGATACAAAAACTTCTAGGAAAATAGTTAAAATTTAACTATAGAACCAAAGAATTTTAGAGAATGAGGAGGGCTCAGAGATCACCCAGTTTTATAGATAAGAATTACAATGTCGTTTACTAATACCTCTTGAAGGACAGGAATGACTGGTGGATTCCTCTGCTGGAGAAAATATAGCACCATAAGAGTGTATGCATATGATGATAAACTGCCTCTGGATGCATCACCGATATCACACATCTAGAGGGAAGGAAAACAAAGAAAAGATAACCAGTGTTTAATGTTAAGTTTTCCTCCATTTTATTACTATAAAAGAGGTGTTTGGCCAGGAACAGTGGTTCACGCCTATAATCCTAGCCTTGGGAGGCCGAGCTGGGTGGATTGCCTGAGCTCAAGGGCTCAAGACCAGCCTCAGCTGGAGCGAGATTTTGTCTTGAAAAATATCTGGGTGTTTTGGCAGATACCTGTAGTCCCAGCTTCTTGGGAGGCTGAGGCAAGCAAATCCCTTGAGCCCAAAAGTTTGAGATTGCTGTAAGCTATGACACCACAGCACTCTACTAAGGGCCGCAAAATGACTCTGCCTCGAAAATAAAAAAGAGGTGTTTACTTTTGAGACTAATCTAAAAATCACATTTTTGATGGCTAAATTATGCTAACAAAACCAACCCAAACCAACCCAAACCAACCCAATCCAACAAACAGTGAATAATTAGCCACAAGCAAGATCATAACATTGTATAAAATTTAAGATAAAAACATTTGAGCTTGTGCCATCGGGCTTCCCAAATACAGCAGAATTTCTGTAAGTTGATCACCCAAAGGACTGTAACAAATTGTTCAACATACAGAGGTGGTCAACGTTTAAGTTAACCACATGTGGGGCATGTCTGGTCTATGAAAATTAGGTTAACTTAAGGAGGGGGTCAATGTAGGGAGTTAATGAACTATGGAGGTTCTACTGTGGTTATAGGAAGCATGTGACATGGCTATAAACCATTAAAAAGTACAGATTTCAGGTTTGCAACAAGGTGTGAAGATGCAATAAAATTTCATAGTAAATCACAAGAGGAATCATACTCACCTTTGTAAATACTTTCATGGTATAGCACAAATATTTCACTCTGGGATCAATGGCTGAATAAGCAGATAAAAGCCTTGTGTTATGAAGGGCCTGTGAAAGGGAAATTACACTGTAAGGCTATCACTTAGATGAAAAAGTTTTAAGTTGGAGTATTCTAAATGGGTTTATACCTATTCATTTTATGGGGGAGACATTTAGACTGAAATGAACCCTTCCCTAAGACAGGCTGCATTAACTTACTAGACAATAAAGAATTTTAAGTAACATCTGACTTCATGACCTCAATTATGTTAATATGTGTTTAGTCTGAACATCTAGAAAATAAGGGCTATGAAAATAATCAGTTCCCTTTAAGTATATGTACGATCCCTCTACCCAAAGCATTATTTCAATTAAATGTCTTCAGAAACCAGAGAAGTCTCATAAAGTCCTGAAATAAACCAGGTGTGAGATTAAAGAGAGTTGGGTGCACCAAGATTACACTGTGCCCATCTGAAAATGAATAAATGTCTCCAAAGACAATCCCCCGCCCCCGGCAATAATAACAAAATTCAAGCCAGGTATGATGGCTCAAGGCTATAATCCTAGTACTCTGGAAGGCCTAGACAGGAGGGTGACTTGAGTGTAGGAGGTAGGAGTTTGAGACCAAGCTAGAGCAACAAATCAAGACCTTGTCTCTACAAAACAGAAAGATCAGGCTGGATGTGGTGGCTCATGCCTATAATCCTAGCAGTCTGGGAGGCCAAAGTGGGTTGCCTGAGCTCACGACCAGCCTGAGGCAGAGGGAGACCTAAGCTCTATAACTAGCCAGGTGATATGGCAGGCGCCTATAGTCCCAGCTACTTGGGAGGCGGAGACAAGAGAATCACATGAGCCCAAGAGTTTGAGGTTGCTGTGAGGTGTGATGCCATAGCATTCTATCGGGGGTAACAAAGTGAACTCTTTTCTCCAAAAAAAAAAAAGAAAAAGAAAGAAAAGAAAAGAAAAATCAGCTGGGCCTGGGTCATGTGTCTGTGGTCCCAGACACTTACGAAGGTGAAGTAGAAGGGTGGCTTGAGCCCAGCAGTTTGAGGTTGCAGTGAGCTATACTGAAGCCACTGCACTCCACTAGGGTGAAAAGAGTGAGACTTTGTCTCTAAATAAATAAACAAAAATGAATAAACAGAAGTTCAAACCAAACATAAGAACCTGCCATTCTGACTTCATCCTAAATAATTACTAACATTAACTGAATTCTGTTATAGCCTTAGCTCCAAAACCCTGCCAGGTACATAGCACACACTCATAAATAACTCCTTAAAGAATAACATTAAGTAAGATTAAATAAATGGCTCACTTGAGATTTTGTAAATTGAAATCTTTGTTCCGCTAGTCTTCCTAAAGAAAAAGCTGGAAGAAAATCTTACCAATGTGTTATACAAACTGATATCCACTTCCAGACCACTTCTCAAATGGAAGAACTTCACAATTGGCACCTTTGCTGTTGTAATAGGTAAGATGTTTCTCAGACCTAGGTCAGGAAATATGATTATTATTAAATGCAACATCTGGGGATATAAGTGGTTCTGTGTTAACCTAACAATATAAAATGATGTAGGCTGGTCCAATTGTACTGGGCCATCAAAACTTACTAACATTACTGACACTGAAGTTCATACAGGCCTCACTGCTTACTTGGACTGGTTTTAAAAAAGAGAATAAAATAAAATGATGTAAACCTAACTTTGGCTTATTTTACTGAATTCACTTAGGCCTTAAAATTTAAAAGAATTCTCTGGAATTACCAAACCTCTGGGAAGACTATTCTGGCAAAGTCTATATTTGCTGAACACATTAACGTCTTAACTACAAGAATGAGGGTGGTGCCTGTGTCTCAGAAAGTAGGGTGCCGGCCCCATATACTCTGAGGGTGGTGGGTTCAAACCTGGCTCTGGCCAAACTGCAACAAAAAAACAGCCGGGTTTTGTGGCGGGCGCCTGTAGTCCCAGCTACTCAGAAGGCTGAGGCAAGAGAATTGCCTAGGCCCAGGAGTTGGAGGTTGCTGTGAGCTGTGTGACGCCATGGCACTCTACCCAGGGTGATAAAATAAGACTCTGTCTATAAAAAAAATTAATAATAAATAAAAAAAGAATGAAAAAGTCAGTCACTGCCCTCTAGGAACTTAATGGTTCATGTGTACTCACTGTGAGCATATGTGTGCATGTGCATACATGCACTTATGCATGTGTGATTGGCCCAACAAATAATAAAACAGAGGAAACTGCTGCAGAGTCTTTTTGAGACAGGGTTTTGCTCCATCACCCAGGCTGGAGGAGTACAGTGGCATGATCATAGCTTACTGTAGCCTCAAACCCAAGGGATCCTCCTGCTTTAGATTCTTGGGTAGCTGGAACTACAGGTATGCCATCAAGCCCAACTAATTTTTAAACTTTGTAGAGATGAAGCCTATGTTGCCTAGGCTGGTCTCAAACTCCTGGCCTCAGATGACAGAGTCTGAACTATGTAGGTCCTACCTATTCTCTCCATATGACTAATTTGGAGAAAAGACTATGAGCAATCATAAGAATCCTCAAAAGAGGTTAATTACTATGAAGCTAGAAGTTACAAAGGTAACAGAAAGGAATCAGCTTTAATAAAAGAAGATGAAATTGCCTGACCTAGGCTTTGAAAAAGAACAGGAAAAAATAGTGGAGGTTGGGCAAGGGAAATTGTACATAAAAAGGAGAGAGAACTTGGAACAGAATGGCATGTTCAGAGAACTTCCATGGAATTGTGTAGGTTGTAGAAGGAACTTGAGGGAAAGGAATATGAAAAATAGGAAATGAGAGAGAAACAAGAAGAGCCTAATAGGGCTGTGCCTGTGGCTCAGTGGGTAGGGCACGAGTCCCATATATGGAGGGTGACAGGTTCAAACTTTGCCCCAGCCAAACTGCAACAAAAAAATAGCTGGGCGTTGTGGTGGGCATCTGTAGTCCCAGCTGCTTGGGACGCTGAGGTAAGAGAATTGCCTAAGCGCAGGAGTTGCAGGTTGCTGTGAGTTGTGACACCATGGCACTCTACTGAGGGCAATAAAGTGAGACTCTAGTCTCTACAAAAAAAAAAGAAGAGCCTAACAGAGAACATGTATGTCTTGGAAGAATTAACCTGAGAGACAAAGAGAAGCCAATGGACTTTTTTAAGTCCAGAGGAATCACTGACATGTGTACATGGAATGGTCTAGGCAATAGATAGATTGGAAGCACCTAGAAGAACAAAGGGAGGATGACTGCTTATGAAAAATAACTGGGCCTGAATTCTCAGGGTGGCATGGGATTGCAAAGAAGTAAAGCATGTGGTAGAGCCTCTATAAAGGGATGAACAGGTAGGGGTGATAAAAGAGGAGGACTGCTAACAGTAAGAACTACCACTTCCTGAACTCTTACTGGACAGGAAGATGTGAAAGTCCATTACAAACACTAGCTGCTAAGACTTACCACTCTCATCTAACAGATGAAGAAACAGAGACCCAGAAAAGATCACTTGCTTAGGACTATGCAGCGAGTAAATTGTGGAGTTAGATGTAAATCAAAGTAAGACTAACTCCACACTTATCTTGAACTTAGTCCAAGTCAGGCTAATTATCACTTTACCCACTATGATGATTCCAAGGACACCAATGTCAACAACCATGAAAGAGGATTGATTCAGAAGCAGGGCAGGTGGTAGGGGTAGTTGCGCTGCAGAAGCAGGGAAGTGGTAAAGAGAGGAGTTCATTTAGAGATGTAGAAGTCTGAGTTTCTTTCTTCTGAGAGTGAGGTGGTGATATCTAGAGGGCAGATACACAGTGATCATACCACAGAACTCAGGATAAAATATCATCATTGAGAAATGGGACTGTTAGCATAGGACACCTGTGTGGAGGTATCTGGTTTGCCATGAAAGTATGACAAAAGCTAGAAGACAGAAGAAATTCCAGGAGGTGGTGCCTGTGGCTCAGTGGGTAGGGCGCTGGCCCCATATACCAAGGGTGACGGGTTCAAACCCGGCCCTGGACAGCTAAAACAGCAATGAGAATTGCAAGAAAAAATAGCTGGGTGTTGTGGCAGGGCCTGTAGTCCCAGCTACTTGGGAGGCTGAGGCATGAGAATCACAGCTATGAGCTGTGATGCTATGGCCTTCTACCCAGGGTGACAAAGTGAGACTATCTTAAAAAAAAAAAAAAGCATCTACTACTCTAAAAGAAATGTTAAAACAAGTTCTTCAAACAAATAATATCAATTCAAAACATTGGAAATGCAGGAAGAACAACATATATA